CCCAGACCTACTTCTACAGTCTGCCCCCTGGAGGTAGGGTTGGATCCTCTGGGAGGAAGAAAACACTGGAGCTGTCAAAATAACAGCTTTGACTGCAATATATAATCTGTGAAAATTACATGGAATTTATTTAAATGTAACAGATTTTAACACTACATCCAATCATTTCATCATCCTTCCATTTGGCTTCTAATACACAGTGGGAAAGGGTTTTGGTTTCACAGAAGCAGTTCAAGTTTAAAATACATCCCTTGTTCAGGGCTTTTTCTATAAATATGTTTTTTAATTAGTTGTGAGTCAGTTCCAAACAGTAATATTTTGTCTTAAGTCAAATCATTTGAATTCCACATTTCCACCTTCTCACCCCTCAAGACCAGGAAATATGTCTGGGCCAAACCAGTAACCACAGAGCTCCATACTTCTGTTTCCTATGTGACCACATCCAGTGACAGTAGCAGGAGACGTTAAGCACACCTGAGGCAGCTGGTTTAATGTGGGAATAAAAATGCAGATTCATCCGAGATAAACGACGTTTCCACTTGTGTCTGAAAATAAATTCTCCATGACAGGCAAATAGGTTATCTCCTTCTGTTGAATCACATTTGTAGAGGAGCTGGAGGTTAAGGAGTGGAGCGATAGAGTTGTGTGTGTGTGTGTGTGTGTGTGTATGGGGGGAGAGGGGGGAGGCAGTAGTGGCAACGCTGGCCTACTTTCCACCATTCACCAGTCAGTGCATCCTCCTGGGAGCAATGGAGGAAAAGTATATGGAGGCAATTCAACCACGCTTGGTCTGTCACCACAAAAAGTAAGGCAGCCACTCAGTGTGTGTGAGGGGGGAGGGAGGGGGGAGGGGGCATAGGAAGAGCTTATTTATCTTCTTATTCATCTTTCCTTTTCCTTTGTCTTTCTGCTCTTCTGTGCTACGCCTTTTGTTTACGCTGCCTGGTTACACCTTTATACAAACATTTATGCCGGTGGTAAACCTGAGAGAAGAGGTGTACAGAAATTTGTGGGCAGATTGACACACATCTCCTCACCCCTCCTCCATCCTCTCCACTCTGCCGCCCCTGCTGCCTCTCATGTCCCGAGGCGCCTGTCACTGACTCAGCGTCAGCAGGTAGATATCCATAATTATGGTGGAGGACAGCCTTAGACTCCTGCCCACAGGTGTTTTGTTTAATGCACAGGAATGTGTGCTACCGTTAAAGTGACGCACACAAATAACATTAACGCTGCTTCTAAAAGCTCTGTAATTCCAGATGTAGCGTGCTAATGCTAATGCGTTTGTTCCCTTCTTTATGCCCCCAGTTGCTCCTCATCAGGTTTAGTTGCTAGGCTACAAACTGGAACTGTGTAAGCGCTGGAGTTGTTGAGGAAATGTGTTTCGATAATTTACCATTACCATTAATGCTTTTTTTCTCTCTCCCTTTTCTTACTGCCACCTGCTTCAACCATTTCTCCATCAGCCTGTCTCTGTGACAGCTGCAGACAGGCTCCCTCTGCCAGACGGAGACCTGTGAATTCACACATGATTCCCTGTGACAGCACACACATTATAGAGGTTTCTCTGGGTTATTTTTACCACCTGAACCTTGCAGACATATATATTATATATTTTAGCTGCTCCTCTAAGGGGTCACCTCTATAGATCATCTGCCTCCGTCTCACCCTGTCTATAGTCTCTACTACAGCTACACCAGGGTCACGTTCTCTGCTGTGACATCCTCCACTCCTCTGAGGCTTTTCTTCCTTTTTCTCTCATTGTGCAGCACACTCCCTATCACCTTTTGTCCAAGGCATCCACTATTTCTCCTCTGCATTTGTCCAAACCATCTAATCTGTACCTCCAAACCAAACCTCACCAGGTGTTTATTTACTATTAATATTTTCTTATTAGTAATAGAAGTATTTTTTACCAGAGCCAATGAAAGACGTATTTAGTTGAACTAAAATGTGATGAAGCCCCACAGAGATCACGGTGAGAAGAGAATGTGCAAACTGTAGATATGTGTTTGTGTGCTTGTTTCCTTGGGTTCATCCAGGTGATGAGCCTCTGCATCCTGTCTCCCAGTTTGATTTTGGCCTCTGAGTAGCGGAGGGCACAGGAAGTTACCAGGCATGGTACATTTCCCGTGGGTGCTGGATGATGCCCTTTGACAGATTAGGACTGAAAGGTTGTGCCGTGTGTGGAGCGCAGCTGTGAGTATGGTCGCCTGTTTGTTGATTCAGGATGGAAGGTAAACCCTGCAGTTAAAGTCTCCATCATGTTCTGTTACTTGACTCTGGCCGGATTCGTAAACAACAAGCTTTTCACAAATAATACCTACAAAGACAATTGTCCCGGCAAAACAAACCTGATACTGTGTTCATATGGTCTATAGTTAAAACATACAGAACAACATAGAACATAAAGTTTTACTTTTGATTTCTTTTGATATAGATCTTATTTTTTAACCCTCATTTATAGTTTTCCCAACATTCTCTAAGGAGCTTTTACTTGTCTGTTGCTTCATGACCTTTTACTGTCCAGCTGATCCCAAACAGAACCAAGGATATTGAGGTCCAGACTCACCTGCGAGAGGCCAACGGCTGGTATGGGTTGGGTCATTACCTTGTTAAAATATAAAACCACCTGCATAAAACATGTGAATAGCGTGGCGCAGTCTTTATGGTGGGGTCTGTCTAAAGAGGGTCTCAAAATGGAACATTTCACCTCGTTAAAAAAAAGGATACAGTTACCTAAACAGTCACATGTCACACAGTAAATCATTGAACTGTCCACACAGGCTTCTACTGCAGTTTAATCAGGATCCTGGACCATCATTGTATCTGTGTGTGTGTGTGGGTGAACAATAAGGCCTAGTTGAGCTTGAACGGCTCGGTTTTTGGTCTCTTTAATGAGATAGCACGTGGAATGACGACGAGTGTGTGAAATTGAATTAAACGTGTGATAAAGAGCGTGGATGTGAGGAGCAGCCTCTAAGCCGTCATCCATCTATCAGCACTTGTGTGTGTGGTGTGTGGTGTGTGTGATTTTCGTGCATACGAGAGTATATTTTATTGCCAGCAGTCTGGATGAAGAATGAACGAGTACATCTGAAGGTTGGGAATTATTTTGCAAAGCATGCAAAATAACCTCCCCTCAGTTTAACCTCTTCCTGTTAGTCAGACACTGGCACTGAAGTAAATAGATTTAGACAGTTGATGATCATCGCTGTGGCCACTGAGCTGGAGCCTTTGTTAGGAGGTGCCTGGTTCAAATTCACACTCCACCCCAACACCTGCATCAATGACCTTGACACTGAGTTACTGCCTAGTGTGTTAACTTTGTCAGATCACTATGTGACAATTTAATGTAATATTCTTTTGGGTAGGATTAAGACACACCTGGGCTATAGTTGTTGTTTAGAATCGTTTTTAAGATGTTTAGAACCCTACATTTGGCTGTCTGTTAGCTTTAGTGCGATGTGCGATTTTACATGTGCTAACGTGTTACAATCTTTACTAACTCTTTACTTGGTATATTTTATTTTTTGGGCACACACTGGCACTGAAGTAAATAGATTTAGACTTATTTTATTTTTTGGGCACATTTATTTCGTGGATAACTGATTTGTAGATATTTGACTGGATTCGTTGAAGACATTTCCCTTGACTTATTTTTTTTTTAAATACTTCAGATGAAATGTATCCTATTTTTAATGTCTGGTAAAAAAAAAACCCTACCACCTATTAAAGCATCCTTTATTTTCTACAAAACGTCTGAGTTACTTAACTTTCTTTGTGTTATCACACTCAAAACTAGATGTTTTGGGTTGATTGACAACATAATTAAATCTGCAACAAGTTTGGACGACCCTGCCGTGTACTGATGGTTAGGTATGCTCCAGTCTACTGCAATGTACATTTCCTAATCAGTCACTGATAGGCTAACAAAGTTAACACATCCATTGAACTGTTGTGTGTCACATACTGATCCGTAAGGATGGGGGGAGGAGGGTGTTTAGTCAGCGATTCACCTCAGCCTTTCCTTTCCTCTCTCTCTCTGGGCTCTCTGAGAATACCTAAGAAGCCAAAAAGAAAATACCTCACAGCTGTTCTCTCTGTAGACAAGCCATTCCTGTGATTCTTTTCTCTTCTTTCACACTCAGGGGCCCCGTGTTTGAGCTGAACTCCTGACAAGTCTTTGAATCCTTCACAAGCTAATCTCTGTCTTGTTTCAAATGTCTCTTTAAGTCGTTGTTTAATGTTTATACTTAACTTTGAAAAATGCACACAAAACAGCACAGAGTTCTGGGGGCAATAAGAAAGGCACAAGGTGCAAAAACACAAGGAGACCGGGCTCTGCACGTATCACGTATGCCACAGGGAATGTCAGTGTCACGACCTCAGAGGAGGAGGCAAAAAGATCAGTCTCCGGAGCGCTTATCTGGCTCTCCATCTGTAGTAGATTTTGTGACACGAGGAGCACAGAGGGAATGAAAACACTTCACTCCCCCCACCTCCCCCCAACCCCCCAACCTCCTCTAAACCCCAAACAAAGGCCCTGGCCTTGTTGTCTGGCTGTGAGACAGGCACACAACATGAATAATTAACCAGGAACAAAAATAACTATCAGCTGAGTGTTGTCTTCTGTCTGACCCAGGAATCAGAAACAACACTGAGCTTTATTTGAAAAAAAAAATAAACAAACAAACAAACAAACTGTCAAATGGATTGGAGGAACAGTAAACTGATTATTATTATTGTTGTGATTAACGGTTTTAACTGAATTTTTGAAAGCCACACTTGACACATCCTATAAAACACGAATGCCATGCAAATTAATGACAAAGATCATCAACTTTAGTTTTAGTTATACTAAAAATAGGGTTGTTTTTCTTCATTTTTTTGACATTTACAATTCCATCATCTTGTATTCCTGTTCCACGGGGGGAGTTTTTTGTCATGTTACTTTATCTCGATGAATCATGATAAATTGCAATCGTGATTAATCCACAGCTACCCTGTGATCAATCAGAGTAACAATTCGAAGTGATCGATGGCTCTAGTTTCAGTGAATGGAATCAGCAGAGCAGAGGTTTTTTTTGTTGTTTGTTTGTTTTTTAACCATTTAATTGTGGTCAGTGGAGGTGTGCAGCAGGCAGTGTATCTGCTCAGAGTCTCCGCCCTCTGGAGCCGATCTGCTGCTGCTGCTGCTGGTGGTTGTGGATCATGATCCTCTCAGCTCACTCACTTCTCTCCACTGTTCGCATACCAATCTGCTCCACCACTCTGTGATCGCGCTGCTCGGGGCGGTGGATTTTAACACTCCGGAGTCCGAAGTCTCCTCCGCGGACATCGTACTGTAACTGATCCGCTCTGCTGTCCCTTTTCTTTGTCTTTAAACAACAACAACAGCTTAACACCTCCACTCAAGACATTTCTCAGTAAAGTGTTGTTCAGTAACGTTTAGGCAGAGAAAACCGTCTCGTCTGGTCACAGCAGGCTGAGGGGCTGAGGCACGGAGCTGCGCTTTCGAGGTAAGAATCCAACCGCAGTTTTTTGAAAAGTGTCTCTAACTTCACAGTTGTGTGTTTCTGTAAGACACAAACAGCAGAGTTTAAAAAATGTCTTTTCTATTCCCGTGACTGCATCTGTGGGCGAGATACCAGCGCACAATAACGTGTGTGGAGAAACGGGCGAAGACTACTTTGTTACTGCAACTTACTGCGTCCTTTCAGTGTTGTGCCAACATTTATAAATAACATGAGAGTAAATATGAAACTTGGTCTTAGTGTTGTAGTTTATCTGATCGTCTGTTATTGTATATGGACACGATTTAATCCTAATCAGAGTCAGTGGTGGTATTTATAGCCATGTACATTAACACATACGGAACTTGGGTTTGTGTTTTGATGCATTTAAATAGAGTATACAATTATTTTTTTTATTTTTATTTTTTACCAAAAATACCTATGAATAGTTATTTATTTTGTGTTGGTGTGACATAAATATAAACTGGCCAACATTAATGTAAAGATATACAAAGTATACTTTATAGTAAGTGTACATTCAGGTATAATTTATGAGAGGTCTGATTGGACGCAATACTAAATATGAGCTGACACAGTCTTTTAAAATCTTTTCAAATATTTATTCACTTCTGCCGTGCGAAACATGACAGCAGGGGGGAGTGTGTGTCATTCTCCAAGCTGGCATGTTTCCCATGAGGGTCCACTCAGAACTGGGGAGGATGCTGTGTGGGGTCACAAGATGGATGTCTCAGACAGCGCTACCTATGCTGTAGGGCAGAGATTCACTGTCAGTTTGCATTAATCACCGGGTTGGAGAATCCATAATCGGTCGACTTCTTCTTTCTTTGTCTGATTTCCACTGGAGCAAACAGGACGCAGTGAGAAGCTCTGTGGAGGATTCAGACGGACGTTGAAATTGTATCACATTAAATTCAAATGTTTACTCATGAAATATGGGTCCATATTGAAGTTAGCTAAAGTGTTGTTAATCTGATTATCTGAGTTTATCCTGATTTTGACTCTTATAAGTAAGTAATCTCTAAAGAGTGAATGTTTTTAGTGTCAAGGAATGTGGTTTTAACTTGTATAAGGTGAGAATGTTGGAGTGGGGTTTCTGTAAATTTATGCTGTTTCAGGTTTTGTCACATTATTTTGTAAGTGTACGGCACCACAGAAGAGCAGCGCTCATTGTTGTAGACCTACATGCTGTATGATCCTGATGTGTCACCTATAGCAGAAAAAGTTTACATCTAAAAAAGAAAAGTTGGGGTTCTGCCCTCTGACAAAACTCTGACAAGGCCTTAGTCTGGTCACAGTTAAAGCTGCAAATCAAGTTATAATCATATTTTGCCCGGGGACATTGGCTGGACGGGACCCATTAAGGCCCACCAGTGTCCAGGTGAGTGCACACTTCTGGGTTTTCCTGCTCCGAGCTAAAGTCACATCCACTTGCTGGGGCTCTCCATCTCCCTGAGGCTGTTGCACCGTGTCAGGAAGGAGCAGGGAGGAATTGTATCACGCCTGAGCAGCTTGGTCAGCCTGACAAATCAGATTGTGTCATGATTAATGACCTCACCAACCCTACTCCTGCTTCATTTAATTTTAAAGACTTCTGTCTTTCTTCGTCTATCTCCTCTAATCTGTTTCCTCCTAACATTACATGGTTGGGAAATTTGAACAGAAGAATGTGCACAAACAGAAAACAAGAGCTGTGTTTGTTCGCAGTGCTGCGGGTTAACATTTGGCTTCTCCAAAAAAAAAAAAAAAGAGGGGAAAAAGAAACAGTGGTATTAGCACTTTAGAGCAGCTGCCAACATGAATGATTAAACTCTGCCTGGAGCCCTTTTCTCCTCAGCTTGATTCACATGAGTATTGAAAAATAGTTTAGCTGCTCAGATATTGAAGTGATGTGTACAGGATATGAGTACGAGTGCAAACAGGCTTTGTAAGAAACTACGGTGTAATTTACACAGGGAATAAAGGTCAGCGGCGACGCTGGTTCTCGTTCATCGGTGGACTGCGGAGAACAGCAATTTAGAGTGAGCATGTTTAAGTGGATTAAAATCTCAATCGAGCCAATGTAGTATTTATTCCACCCACAGACATGGAACACCTGGTGTGAGACTTGCCACTGGTGATCAGTGCACTCGCTCTAATAGGGCCTCAGATAACGTGTTATCTCTTAATCACACAGTCTGAGTGCCAGGAAAGAAAACGACAGCAAAACACATGAAAGAAAGTGAGAGAGAGAGAGGAAGTGTTTGAGCTTGTTTGTGGTGCACGCCAGAAGGGGGAGGTTCACTGCTCCTCCTGTCCTTGGCATGGAGAGAAAAGTGTGAATTGCAGTATTTGAGTATGGCAGGTCCTGCTGAGAGGGGCAGGGTAACTGACTTGACGCTGCCTCTTGGCCTGGCAGAGCATGCCTCATTAAATGCCTGTCGTGAATCAATCTGCCGTTCTACGTGGTTGGGTGTCTCCGAAATGTGTCCGAACTCTCTCCCCTATTTCCCCCGTTTTTTCCCAATTTCTGATCCATTTGGCCTGACTAAAGCCTTCGTCCTCCTCTTCCTCCTCCTCTCACCATCTCTTTTCTCTTATTATCTTATCTAAACCATCCAGCCTGCAGAGCTCGCATAAATCTGTATCTGTGGTTTCAGAGCAGTGAGGCAGAGGGAGAGCGAAGCTGGGTCATCACTCCACTCTCTTTCTCCTGTATCAGCCCCAGTACAGCAGCAATGGTCCGTGGAGAGTCCAGAACTAAATGGAGTATCTATTGGCTCAATGAGAAAATTGCTTTTTTCGATTGCTAGAGGACACTTCATTTAATGTGTGTGATGCAGAGGCCTCGGCCAGTAATGGGTTCAGCGTCTTTGTTGTCAGGAGACATGAGAAAATGAAATTTGCTTTTCAGCTAGCAGAAATAATTTACTTCCAGAAAGGTACATTTTTCACTGGCCATTTAAAAGTAACCCAGGTGTATGTTGTTATATTTCTGTACACTTCAGTTAGCAATAATTGTCCAAACAGTTGAGTGTTACCTCGTCTGTTTTTATAGTCAAAGGTCATGTAATAGCAGAATTGTTCTACCACAGCACCTGGGTGGAGTTGCCCTTAGATTTTATGACCACAGATCCTGAGTAAACTGTAGCTGTAAACTAGGGTTCACTCACTAGTTATAGTAAAAGAATAGTAAGTAGAAAATATGCAAATATAAGAGCAGATCTGTGGGGATGTGTCTAGATTGTCATCTTTCATGATTTGCAAACAAACATGTAAATCCTATATATTTTTTGGATTTATTATCACTCTGGATCAAGGTTTTCCTGTGGCTCTTGAATCACGTCATCTCACTGCTCCCTCTGAACTTGCGGTGATTTTACGGCATCTGAAAAAGGAATGTTAATCCCACTGCACCGTCCCCTAGTATTTTCGTGACATCACTGGAAGAGGTGATGGTATCAAAGACTGGAATCTGACACCGCAACGTTAACGCTTGACTCTTGAACTTCTCTATTTATGAATAGTTAATAGCTTTTTAATGTAGATACAAGTTGTAGAAACTGGAGCCACGTTGATTTAAGTGATTTTCATTATCAGTATGTATAAATGGTTTTACCCTGTGAATTATTTATCATTACAAATTGTGTATAAACATCTCTACAGCCTGTGTAAAGTCAAGATCAGTCTTGGGACTTCAGGTGTAGTCAACGGAAACAAAGCAAAGGGAAGTTAAAGCTCTGCGTGAGCCATTAGACATAAGTAAATATTTTTTTATAAACAGACATAAAACACAAGGTAATTGGAAAGGCAGTGAATGTGTTAACACATACAACTGACTACCAATAGAGAACATTCTAATTCAAGGAAAGCAGCAACAGTTCTTCTCATTCAGTCAAGGTTTCATTCTGAGCCCCTGTCCAAGTACACTCATGAGTTGTGTTAAAGGAAATTAAATCTAAGGCCCGTGCTCACGTACTACAACGTTCTGTTCTGTTAACGGCTTCTAAGTGATATGTTCCCCCAAATGTTAAAGAGGTGTTAAAATAGTGTTGTCACCCACCAGCACCTTACATCTGCCAGTTTAATGCCAAAATTTAACACCTCTGTAACAATTTACTGCTTCGAGTCAGATCACAGAATAGCAGGCGGCGACTAAAAGCTGCTGTGCTATCTTTGGAGGGAGTGACAGAGGCAGAAAGCTGCTACGGTTGTCTCCATAAAAGCAACTGAGTCAAAACGCCATGACAGGAGCGTGACGTGTTGATGATATTATACGTGTTTGATTTATTACCGGGGGCTTTAACTCATTTTGTTCCAGCCTGGTAGCGACTGTGGCTCACAAAGGGCAGGGTCTTTGGTGGGATCTGGAGATAGCACTCAGTTTAGACCTTTGTTGTTGTGCTTTTCTTGTCTTATAAATTGCAACCTTACTGAATCATTTCTCTGCTACTGTATAAAACCCAAATGGTGCAGGCTTTGTTTGTGATTCAAAATATGCACACACACACACACACACACACACAAGTAACAGTCACATTCTTCATACGTTTGCCCTTTACCTTAATTTAGACCTGTCACCTCAGCACTTTTTTCCACTGGATGCTCCATGAAGCAAACCAACCTGGGGTGATTTGACTTGGTGTAATTGAACCTGTAACCTTGTGCATTGCAAGCGGGAATTCTTCTCACTGCACCACTTGCATATACATTTACAAACCCACACCCACATAGACACAGGGAAATTGTGTCCTCTACTTTCAGCACATGTGAAACAGGACCAGTGGACCCAGGGAGTGGAGGGGATTTTGTCTACCACAGCCCTACTGGGATGGGATTTAGAAGGACAATTCTCCCATCACAAGCCTGATACTTTAACAACTAGACTAGGCTGCTCCCAAAAGGCATCACTGTGAAAGGGAATATTCTATTATCTTTGTGTAAATTTGGCCTAAATGTATAATAGTATAAACCAGTTTATCTTTGTCATTGTCATGAGTCACTTTTCC